GACAGAGAAGGTCTGGGAGGAGGTGTGGACACAGCCAGTGTAGACAGCGAAGGTCTGGGAGGAGGTGTAGAGACAGCCAGTGTAGACAGAGAAGGCTGGGAGGAGGTGTGGAGACAGCCAGTGTAGACAGCGAAGGTCTGGGAGGAGGTGTGGAGACAGCCAGTGTAGACAGGGAAGGCTGAGAGGAGGTGTGGAGACAGCCAGTGTAGACAGAGAAGGCTGGGAGGAGGTGTGGAGACAGCCAGTGTAGACAGAGAAGGTCTGGGAGGAGGTGTGGAGAGAGCCAGTTAGACAGCAAAGGTCTAGAGAAGGTGTGGAGAGAGCCAGTGTAGACAAAGAAGGTCTGGGAGAAGGTGTGGACATAGCCAGTGTAGACAGCAAAGGTCTAGAGAAGGTGTGGAGAGAGCCAGTGTAGTCAGAGAAGGTCTGGGAGGAGGTGTGGACACAGCCAGTGTAGACAGAGAAGGTCTGGGAGAAGGTGTGGAGAGAGCCAGTGTAGACAGAGAAGGCTGAGAGGAGGTGTGGAGACAGCAGTGTAGACAGAGAAGGTCTGGGAGGAGGTGTGGACATAGCCAGTGTAGACAGAGAAGGTCTGGGAGGAGGTGTGGACCCAGCCAGTGTAGACAGAGAAGGTCTGGGAGAAGGTGTGGAGACAGCCAGTGTAGACAGAGAAGGCTGGGAGGAGGTGTGGAGACAGCCAGTGTAGACAGCAAAGGTCTAGAGAAGGTGTGGAGAGAGCCAGTGTAGACAGAGAAGGTCTGGGAGGAGGTGTGGAGACAGCCAGTGTAGACAGAGAAGGCTGGGAGGAGGTGTGGAGACAGCCAGTGTAGACAGAGAAGGCTGGGAGGAGGTGCGCCTTCCCAGGAGCCACTGGGAAGTTTAACAATTAGGATAATGTCCAGTGTGTTGACCGTGTCCACTGCTGTCCTCCTAACAGTTTGAATCCACAAAGGCACGGCTCTCAGAAACTGACTCTCTGTGCTCCCAACTTTATGACTTCCCCCAGAGACTGACCATATTAGCCATTGGTTTGTGGTTACACAGTTCCTGGTATGAGTAAGGGGAAGAAATGATAACTAATATCTTAGTGTCCATAGTAATCAGACTTTCCCAGTAAAAGTGCGATTTCATTAAAAGTGCTTTTTATAAGTAGAAATAAAACATAAATTAGCTACACTTCTGTTTTAACAATATAAAAATCCACTATTGATCTAAAATTAAAAGGAAACTCATCCCCAGGCTGAGTTCTCCCCCGCCTCCTTCAGCTACTACGGATGAGCATCTGGTTTAACTCTGGGTATTTATTCGAAGGTCTCCTAAGAGTCCCGCGTCCGTGGAGCGTGGTCCACTAAGGGGATGAGGGCACTGGCTTTGAGATGATTTAATAGATGCAGCTTCCCGCAGAGCAGCCCCTGCCACCGACTGGAGCACTGTCCCCGCTGCCTGTTCCCTTATCAGTCCTGTGGTTTCCTGCCCGGCTGCAGCTTCACTTCATGATCAAGCGCCCTCGACCCTCCTTCCTGTGGCTTCAGCCCCTGCTGGAGCCAGGGTGATGAAGGCTGCTGGCAGGCCCTGCCCTTCCCCACCCCCAGCCCTGCGCCCGCCTCCCCTCTGCCTGCCACTGCCGAGGTAGCTGAAGCCCCCTGGTTGTCCCCGGAGGCTCTCCAGCTCCTTCCCGCGCCAGGTGCCTGCGCTGTGCCGGGAGCCAGTTTCAGGTCTTCAGGGTGTATATCATCCACCCTCCGGCATTTGATCTTCTTGTTAATAGTTAAGCATCTTGGAGAGAATAAAGAATAGCTTTAGACTATTGTTGCCTCCAAGGGTCATTTGGTATTTGATGGGGAAAATCCTTTCTCTCTGTTTCTGTTACAGTATCTACCCACGCACACACACAGGTTTCCACGTGCTGGGTGCTGGAGCGCAGCAAGTCTAGCCTAAAATTGATGCCGGCTTTGGCTAAGCTCCTCCTCTGGTGTGCCAGCTCGGGCGAGCATTCGGCACAGAGTGTCTTGTTCTCTGGCTACTCCTGACCAAGGGAAGGACCGGCGAAGGTGAAGACGCCTGCCAAGGGAGGCGGTTAGGAACGCAAACCCTAGCACAGGGACTCCAGCACCCACACACCAGGCCACTTGGCCAGGAGAGTCATCTTGCAGGAAAACGCATAAGGCCAGTGCTCCCCCATGGTGCCACCAAGGCTCCAGAGGAGGTCTTGTGGGAAGAGAGCTACCGGACGGGGCACAACAGCTCCTCCAAGTGTCGGGGTTTATCTTAAAGACTGACGAGCATTGTGCATTCTGCTCTCATGTTATGGATATAGTGTGTCCACATTGCTTTAATACAAAATGGATATCTATTAAAGGGCACAAAAGACAAGTATTTATGAAACAGATGACACATGGTGTAACAATGTCAATTTTCTCCAAATTAATCTAGTATTCAAATTCCAATAGGAATCTCCCAAGAATTTTGGGAAGAAATTTTCTGAACTAATTTTTAAATGTGTTTGTCTCAAAGATATTCACTGATCACTCATGCAATTTCAGAAAATGAAAATATGGAAAATTTGCCCTATTAAATATTAAAATGAATGACAAAGCTGTAGTAATAAAAATGCCACTGTCCTGATTTAGGGAAGAACAAGAGAGCAACAGAAAGCTCAGAATCACAGAAAAAGGACATGGAGGGATAGGACGGTCGGACGGAAGGAGAATGAAAGAAAGGAAGGAGAATGTCTTTGTGACTGGAGTGGGGAAAGGGACTATAACATATAACCCCAAGAATGACTCATTTGAAAACTCTGAGGGGCAGCAGTGGTGAGCTCTGGCCTGGTGTTCAGCAGGCCCTGGCTCAGTCTCCAGCTCCACCAGAGAGAGAGTCTGACCTGATTCACTATTCCAGAGCTACAGAGAAACCACGCTCTGCCCCTCTCTCACTGCCCTGTTCCTTCCACCCAGTGTTTTTCAGAAAGTGGCTTTTCACTTTCGAGAAACTTCTTGTCTACTCTTCTGATTGTTGTTCTTTAGGAAGATACTCAGGAAGTTCTGCTCCACCAGGCAGGTCAGAGCCATGTGTGCATGCTGCAGGCTCAGCTCCTGAATCGCGTCTGGCACAACAGGCAGGCATTGACTTGGGGGTTCTGAAAATCCTCCAGAGGCTCTTCAGGGTCCTGGGTCTCGTAGGTCCTGCTGCGTTCTACAGTCCCTTACTGTCCTTCTAGCTCTGCTGAACCTGCAACGGTAGCCCCAAAGGCGTCCACGAGACTGCTGTGAAGGGGAACGTCACAGTTTCCACCAGCCAGAAGCCCTGATTGAATTCCAGGGGGATTACTTTGACTGTGTCTCTTGAAGGCCCTTAGGATAGAATCAAATCCAAAGAGTTGAAAACGTGGGGAAGCAGATTTCCCCTTAACACTATAAATATCACCAGGCACAATGGCACACGCCCGTAATCCCAGCGACTCAGGAGGCTGAGGCAGGAGGATGGCAAGTTCCAGAAAGGCAACCTCAACAACTTAGAGAGACCCCAACTCAGGATGAAAAATAAGAAGGACCAAGGAGGCAGCCCCACAGTAAGCACCCCAGGTTCAATTCCATGACTGATGGCCGACTTGAGCTGCAGAAAGCCTGTCTTCCAGGACGAGTCTGGGAGTGTGCAGGACCAGGAGCTGGGGGAGAGGAAGGTGGGCGCAGGGCCTCCCGGCTCCCTCCAGCCCTGTGCGCGCTCTTCCTTCATCCTGCCAGGAACCAGCACGGCAGCGGCGGGAGACCGCTGTGGGCATGAACGCTGTCACCCGTCATTCTCTCCAAGTTTGAGGCACGACCCCAGAACTGCGAGGCAGCAGGTAAGTCAGCCCTACCAGGTGTAGAACCCAAAGACGTCGAGTCAGGGACATGGCCTGACTCCGTGTGCCCCCTGCCCACCCTTGCAGGAGGAGAGCCCAGGCGATCCATGCACACACCCGTAACCAAACGCACAGCCCAGTCTCGGGCCACAGAGGCTTGGCCATGCACGAATTCACAGGCCAGTCTTGCTCTGGCTTGGCTCTATGAGGGGGGCTCTGCCCCCGGCTCCCCCCCCCCCGTAGGGACCCATGAGAGTGGCCTTAGATTTAGGGGGAAGTACTGAGTGTGGGCATAACAAGCTCAGGAGTTCCTACAGTCCTGCCGCTGTGCCAACAGCACCTAGAAGCTGGGTCCACTCACCTCCTCTCCCACCGGCTGGAGACCCTGACCCCATCCTTCCAGCCCCTACTCGCCCTACCTGCCTTCTCATCCCGTACCCAGTGTTCACTGAGGAGCCCCGAGAGGGTCTGAGCACCTCAGCACACAGCCCGCCCATCTCCCCTCCCTGCCCCACCACCTGCCCAGTCCCCTGGCTGGCAGCCTGGTGATGCTCACATGGGGGACACACAGAGCCCTGTTTCAAGGGCATCCACACCCCTTACTCCTCCCAGGAACCTTGACAGGGAAGACAGAGGAGGTCATGACCAGGGTGGCAGGGGGCCAGGAGGTGCTGCTATCCAGGGGGGACAACCCCAGAGGAGTGGTCATCCAGGCCCAGGAGCTCTGCATCAAGGACAGCCACCGGGGTTCTCAGAAAGTCTCAAGAGAGGGGAACCCCGAGGCTGGGTTCAGGAAGAGCCCTCCCCTGGGCATGCGTCACCTTCCTGCTGAGCACCCCCTGAGACCAATGGCTGGCCTCCAGGGACATGGCACTGACAAGCACAGAGCTCTGCCCAGATGTTCAGCTGCCCCACCGCCTGGGGCTGGAGTAAAGCTGCTATCAAAGTGAAAGTGGCCCTTGTCACACTCTCTGCTGCTGGGTGTCACATGAAAGTGCAAGTCAGCACCCACAGTGCCACACCTGACCCAGACGGAGAAACGGGGTAGAGCAGTCGGCTGGGTAGAGCAGCCTCAGCCACCTGGGGATGTCCATCTTCAGAGGAAACACGCCCTCTCAGGTATGAGAGTCCCTTCTCAGCCGGCCCTCAGCTCCTCCAGACATCCTGTTCCTTGTTCCCTTTTATATGTGCTTCCCCAGCCGTCTGCGTGCCTGGCGCAAGACATCCTTGATCACACAAGGACGGAACCCACCATCACAGCTGACTGGATGTGATGGGCACAGAGGAAATGTGGTGAACTGGAGGGGACCGGGGAGGTGGCCTGCAGCGGGTGCTCAGCCCACACGGGCCGAGCCTCGACCTCCTCACCCACCCCTGAGGACCCTGGAAGGCTCCTGATGTTCCTGACGCCAGGTCTGAAGCCCTCCCTGCAGCTCACAGAAGCTTGGGCAGAGCACAGAGGCCTGGTGCTCAGCCTGGGGGAGGCCACTGGTCCGACTCCCCACCACGCTGCTTGTGGACCTTGTCCACTCACACAGGAGGAAGGGCCCTGGGGATCTGGTCATGGCTAATGCCCACTTACTGGCTCACACTTCAGCTGAGGAAAAGTAAACATGGTAATTGTGTCCCTCTTTATATATTTTTTATTTTAAAAGAAAATATTTGCAATTTAGTAAAGAGTACAGAGAATAAATACTCATATCCACGGGCTCCCTACTCAGAACAGAGCAAAGAATCCTGCAGGAGTCAGGGAGCAGGGAGGGACAACAGCCTGGGGCCCGCAGGCCCCTTCTAACTTCTCCACGGCCCCTCCACATACTGCCTCCAGGTACAGCCTGTGATGCGTGGCCTTTGGAGACACCATGCATATTCAACCTCTGCAGGGAGATAGCATGGAAGGGAAGCAGGGCTGACCTAACTGTTGTGCAGTCACCGCCACATCCACCAGTCCCTCCCAACAGCCAGATCACACTCCTCCTTTGGCCCCATGTCCTAGAGGCCCCTTGTCCCTCTGACACCCAGGTCCAGGTTAAAGCCTCGAACTCCACAGCCTTTGTCATTTTAAAACTCTCTCTTTGGCTTCTGCAAATTCCCAGAGACAGTCCCCAGGTCCGCTCCACCCCAGGGATGACACTGTCCCAAGTCCTTTCCATACAAGGGCTGACAAGACACTCAGCTCCTCTGATTTCAGGACAAACTCCATCCTGTGGAGAACTGGGAGGTCTCTGGGGCATCAGGGAGGAGGGGCCGGTGGCCCACAGTCTCGGAGGTCACTCCTGCGCCTTCTCTTGGGCACTTCTCCACCTCAGAGCCCAGGGCTCCACCACTGATCTCAGGAGAAGTCAGAGCCAGCCCTGAGGTGTTGCCCGTCAACCCAGGCAATCTGTCAAGGCAAACAGCACTTATCTAGAGGCAATCTTCTTCGTCACGTTTGGGGCTGATTTGGAGACAAGTGTAGGGGTCAGTGGAAGTGTCCTTGCTGGACAGAGAGAAACACCACCTCTGGTTCACAGCTTCTTGGAATTGGCTTCCACTTTCTCCAGATGTTAACATGGAGATTTCCCGTATCATTTTTATGGAAATTAGGAAGGAGAATGCTTTTTTAAAAAAAATTTAATATTTATTTAAGTTTTCCGCGGACACAACATCTTTTTGAAGACTATTTTAAGCAAATACTGAAATGGTTTCCAGGCCCCTGAACGTCCTGTCCCACCTCTCAGCATCATTCACCCACCCCCTACGT